TAAGTTTCCACCTCAATCGGGTGTGATTATCCAACAAGACAATGCCAGCCCCCACAAGTGCGTGACGACAAGTGTTCTGAACTCGCGCGGCATTTTGGGCATTGAAGTGAAGAACCAGCCACCGAACAGCCCAGACTTCAACGTCTTAGACTTAGGATTCTTTAACTCTATTCAAAGCCTGCAGTATCAAAAGAGCACTCGTACAATCGAGGAGCTTATTGATGCTGTGGAAACCTCGTTTTATGAGTTGCCTGTGGATACGGTGTCCAAAACATTCATTACCCTGCAAAAGGTGATGGAGAAATGCATCGAAATACACGGAAGCAACGACTATAAGCTCCCTCACATGAAGAAGGACGCAATGATATCCGACTTTACGTCCTTCAACGTTGAGTGTGATGCCTATACATACGAGAGTGCTTTGATCCACTTGAACTATCGACTGGGCGAGGAAGCATCCATGGAATCACTTGTGAATTCCCCAGAACAAGCTGTAGTGATCATTTAATAAAAATGTCATTATATTTTTGCCGTCCATTATTCGTTTCTAGAGTGACATACAAATATCAAGTAATTTCCGAATTGCCACACATACTTTATTCAAGTCAAAACGAACCTAACAACAATTTTGGACCAGAGTAGTAGTATTTATCATGTCGAACATTCATTCATAGTAGTCAGGTGTCGATTATATCTGTCATTAACATGACATGTTGGAAAAAGAATGGCCTCTTCCGATGATCGAAATCGGGACCTCCTGCACCCTAAGCAGGAATCATACCACTAGACCAAAGAGGCTTTCTTGGACGATAATATTTATAACCCACTTATTGTGCTTAATTTCGTGTTGTGGTTTCTCGTTGGAATTTAAATCGATTTGATTGGCTACTTCAGAAGAGCTCAAAATTATTAGCCAACCAAAACCTTCTCAATGAAATTTAACCAATCAGATCGATTGTGGATCGGTTTGGTCGGCGCGATTCGATTGCGTTTTCGAAATCGTGAAAACAAGAGGTAAATCGATTTTGATTGGCTCATGCTATTTCTGAAAACTACTTGGAACTCAAGGGCATTGGGTCTTATAACATGGCTTTTTACGGATAATGTACGGATAAAGGGGAGTCTTATGCTGGTTTCACCAATAAGACGCATTTTCCCGTCAGTCTTATTATGCGCAGGGATTCCAACAGATGAACATCAACACAATGTATCGCTTATACTTACTTAGGCCACCGCGACCACTTCTTCACCAAGTCGTTAACAGTAGCCGTCAATGTAGTGTAGCGGTTCGCAGGACAATTGCCGCAAGTTTGTATCTACCTATTGCCTGATATGTAGAGCATCGGAGAGCCAAGGCCATATAGTACATACAGTAAGTGGAAAGTGAACTATAAAACTGACGGGAGGGTACGTTGCGTCTTCGAAATCAATATTGATACTATGAATACTAAGTACTACTAGTACTATTACTAGTAAGTGGCCTGTACTACTAGTTAGTATATTAATTACGATAGGTTACTACTAATAGTAGTCGGCCGTTTATTGCTGGTTGAGTGAAACTTGGGGCTAGTGGGCGTGGTGAGGAGTTTCGTGGACGGCCGCACTGCAAAGCCGGCGGTGGCAGGCCGCGTATATGGCTTAGCTCGGTACGTTTGCTGCCGCCGCAGCTCCATCCGCTGCTGTTCCTCGAGCTCCCGCTTTGCTAGTTCCTTGGCTTCTTTGGCTTCTTTGCGTTTAGCTTCAAACATCTCCCGCGCCCTAGCTCTCTCCAACTGGTTCGTCGTGCTAGTAATACTAGTAGTAACCGTCCTACTAGTACTACTACTAGCATCAGTCTTGGAGCGTTGAACGGGGGGTTGCTTTGGCAGGACCGATGCTGGCCGAGTACTTTGTGACAAAAGGGGGTGATTTGCTTGAGGGGGAGATGACCACTTTTTGTCACCCATTCTCGCCAACGTCGCGAGTTTCGGCATCGTGGGCTGCGTGAGCGGCTTGGACGAGTTGGGCGCGATGTTGGGCGCCATGTCCAGCGTGGATGGCATCGGGCGCGCATGGAACTTCTTCTGCAGCTCGATCGAGTCGGCGTCCTGGGGATGATGCAAGGGATTCCTCGCTTGCTTCACGGCCTCCGCGCGCTTGGCCGAGTGCAACGTGGGCGCTGTCGGCTGAATCATGCACGAGTTAGATCGATGTGAGTGACGTCAACATGCATAACGCATGATGCGAACCTTGGTGAGAGGTTTGCGGGACGACGTGGATGAGATCGCTCCGCTGCTGCTGCGCGTGGAATCGTCGCGGGAATGGGCGTCGTCGTTGAGGGAATCGGGCGCCGAGTCCGTGTGGGAACGCGCGTCGTCATTGTCGTCGTCGTTGTTGTCGTGGAGAATGACGGGCGGCGTCTGTCGCCGATGGCGTGCGGTGGCAGTGGTCGGAGGCTGTTTGGTGGACGGTCGTCGCGACATGTGGCTCCCATCGGCCGCCGCCACGAACGCATCCAGCGCGGCGGTGGCGGAGTTGTCCATTTGGTCGAAATAGCCATCGGCGTTGTTCACGTAGCTCTTCTCGAACTCGCCGTCGTTCAGGTCGTAGTACGTCGGCGCGTCGAAGTCGAACACGATCGTCGTGGCGTCGTCCTCGGGTTCCACCATTTCGATGGCAAAATGACGTCAAGTTGCAAATGGTATGAACATTTTAGCCAATCACAGCGTTCCGTCAAGAAAGGGAATAAAAATACGCGCCAGAATTACTCAAAATACGTGGGAATCCATATTTCCATTATTTTAATAATGGAAATATGGATCACAAATCCACCATATATAAAGCAAGGATGTATGTCGTCTTGACGCAGGATGGATCGGTGCGTGAAGTTTGTCCGTGAGAGATGGACAGGTGATCAAGGGAGGCTGGTGACTGCGCAGTCGCTGGCAGGGAGATGGCGGTGTCATCGACTGCTCTCGCGTCCGGAGATGCGTCCGTTACACGAGTGGGTTTCTTTACCAAGCCAGTTGGTCCTCTCCCACCACACCGACATGGTTTGCTCTGGACATACACATGAATGGCTGTGGCAGAGGCTGAATAGTGACGAAGCATATAACGTTACTACTTAAATCTTCCTGTGATCTCATGCGCAGCAACCACCTCGGCTGTACGTACACGTAAGCATGGCGCCGTCGACCCGGTGAGTGTTTTTGAGGATCTCACCAGTCACATGGGGCTGGTACCACCGCCTCCCGCGCTTGACAATCGCCGGCACGAGCATGTAGATCCTCAGGACGGTGTTATGGATCGCTTCAAGCTGCGGTGGCCTTGGTGTTCCTCGTTGGCTACAGAAAGATCTCGCCCGTCTTGGTCATCGTGGTGGTGGGGTTGCTGCTCTGGGTGGAGGCGCTATAGGTCGAATTGTTGTAGTCGGAAGCTTCTACGCAGCTTAGCTTCTTTCGCGGCTGGAAAAGTCGAGGCGCATGTCAGCGGGTGTGGTCGTGCACAGGGCAGTAGCCCAACACCACCATAAGTCTGGGCTTGCAGTACAACTTGGAGCCGATGGAGATCATTGTGATCCGTCGGTCTAAGTCTAAGCTCGTGACCCCATGCGAGCTGGTCATCCATGATGTGTCGAGGGTAAAGTGGCCATGCAAGAACCTAACGTTAGGTTGCTATTTTTTATGGTTTTAAAAGATCTAATGACGACACACACCACTATCGGTATGAATACATACAAGTGCCCTAGTAGTTATAATCGTTGGTGTCAACAGGTCTCCGTGTTCATAGTAGTATATACTAAGTACTGTAGTAACGTTAGCTCAACCACAACAGTCCCCTCGACTATACTGGTACAAGGTCGGTTTACTCACCCGCGTGGTGCTCTTGCACAGGTCAAATTTGTTTTGATGGATCGTACCAACGACCTTGGGCTGGTACAGATGTCGTAGCCATGACGTGATCGTCGGCACAAGATCGTAGATGCTCACGACCATGTATTGGGCGTGTGTCTCTTGACAAGGTTTGGACGCCGGCTTCAGGTTGCCTGCTGCCAGATGCGACTCTCGCCCGACGTCCACGGTACTGCTACTTTCGCGGCTGGAGCAGCTGACCGCCACGTCCCTCGCCACTTTGTCCCCCGACTTGTCGAGCACTGTGCAGTACCCCAACAGCACCATCAAGCTGGGCTTGCAGTACCGTTTGTTACCGATGGAAATCGCGTTTGCTTCGTCCAAATCGAGGCTCGTGACCCACTGCGGCGTGGTCAGTTCGTTCAGAAACGCATTTTGGCTCGTCCACGCCGTGTTTAGCAAACAGCGGCCCCACGATAGCCTGTGTGCCAGTATCGATAGCACCCACGCCACGACCATGCACACAACCAAGTCGGGCAGGACGATGTAAATCACGGGCGTGATGCCAACATCACTTTCGATCACGTACGCCCCAGATGTCCACATACTTCCGTTAATACACAGCTCCAACGTCGGGGCAATGTATGTCCAAAAGTCGGCTGCCTGCGTCGGCCCCCGTCCCTTGGCCAGCTCAACACCGACAAACAAGATCACGGTGCAATAGATAAACACTGGTGCGGAATAGCAAAGGGGACGGTTCCTCCATGGAGATGGAACGGGCACGGCTTGCACGAGGGTGAGAATAGCCATCCATGATAGCGCCATCATCACGGCCATCATGAGGAAAGACATGCTCCAGTAATGGTGCCCCTCAATGCCATAAGTGTACCGCAATACGTCTACATACAACGGCGAGAAGAGGAACGTGCCGACGAACGCAAGCAGCAGAAGCTTGCGGCGCTCCAACGATGCAATCATGTCGTACGTTAGCACGGGTTTGTTTTGCAGCAGCCCCGAGAGCCCTTCGAGGGTGATGAGGCCATCGTTGCTAAGCAACGCCAGCGACGCAAAACACATGAAGAGCTGGAACACGATGAGCATGGCCTGGTTGTCCACGTCATGGCTGTTTTCCCAGCCAATGCTGAGCACTTTTCGGGACGTTTTGCCAATGCTGTAGCCGAGCAAAGCCTGGATTTCCGCGTCCAGCATGTCCACACAGTGGGCCACGACCCACACACGCATCAAGTACAGCCGGTTTAAGCTGTTCACGGTCGCAATATAGTTGGGCTGGTCCCACGTCGCGACTTCTGTCCGTCCATCACTTGCCGACACAAACACCTTTGAAATCGACGCCGAAACCCCTCGCACCATCCCGTTGGTCTCGACGACTGAGGCGGGTCGGGACGGAATCGCGTCCGAGCACGTGCTTAGGAGGAACGCGCCGTCGGGGTACTCGGGGGTCCCCACCGTTTCAAGTGTGGTCATGCCCAGCACTTCTTGACTGCCCTGTGGATTACACTGGGGGAACTCGGCGTCCCCCACCAACAAGTACAAAGTCCCCCATCGCCCGATGCCCGTGATATAGCACGTGGTCACGAAGGCCACGACCGACTGGTTGGATACGAGGACGTCCGCGCCCAATTGCCGGCCGACGCTACTCCACGCCACCGCACCTGTCACGTTGACTTCGGCAAACGAGCACGAGTTCGGCACAAAGCCCGAAGCGTACGTTAGCCGGCAGGTTTGGCCATAGGATATCCACTGGTCTTGGTTGTAGTAAGACATGTTGGTGCTATAGAACATGCCTTGCTTGAGCAATATGAGCACGAGCCCGGCCGTGGCCAGGATGAGTAGTATCGCACAAAAGTTGCTCATCACGCGAAACCACTTGGCCAAATATGCACCTGTGAGTGCTGGCTTGATCCGATGGCTCAGTTTGCGAGAGCTGGGCTCGGCGCTTGGCATCGCGGACGACCAACGTCCGACGACAAAGGCAACCAAGGATACGGCTATTTTCAGCCTCTTTCGTGTACGAGTTTCAGTTGCGGTTACAACGGTAACGAACTCGTGACAAGTCTCATGGAATACAGTAAGTTACGTTCTACAGACTCTTTACAGTTAGTGTTTCAAATTGTTAATGCAGATTAACGTTATAGATTAACGTTATACATCATTTTCCTAATAGTAATCTAATCCAATTTGAATATAAAGCCTCTTTGGTCTAGTGGTATGATTCCTGCTTAGGGTGCAGGAGGTCCCGATTTCGATCATCGGAAGAGGCCGTTCTTTTTCTTTACAGTCATCCCCCGATTTTTGCAGCCCCTACCAAATATAGTTTTACGGAGGTACTTATATGCATGGGTTATATGAAGTCTTGGAGGAGTATACCTTCACACTAGATAAGGATATAAATCACATTCGATGAGCAAAAACTAATCGTAAATATCCGAATACCCTACACGTTTTGTGATATGTGGTCGCACAATTTCTCAAAGCAAGTACACTCTCATTCTTACAGTAGAAACATCGAACAACGTCCTAGCTTGTTATCCAGTGCTCGAATTTATTCCGACAGCCATGTCATCGTGTATGTAGAGTTAACCACTTTGCAAGGATTCGCATGGCAAATGGACAACGCTCGTGATATTGTGATATGACTTGGTGCTGGCACCGCATTTGAGTTCCCAGTATTAATTTTTCAATAACCTGTTAAATTGAATATTCGATGGGATTACACAGGATATTC